GAAGCCAAAAATGCAATAATATACAGGGTGTTCCATTTAAAAAAAATCATCCAGGACCACTGACACTTCTTTGAGCCACCCTATAGAAGTTTACATATTTTCATGAAATACATCCTGTTACATACTTTAGGTTTGCACTTAAACAAAATTCTCAAGTTTTTTATTCTAGGAGCTACAAATCCCGACGCACTATTGCCGGACCCTGTATATAGGAAGTTGTTTTATCTTCTGAACGTATTTAGTTTATGAGAAACATAGTTGTTATGATGTCTAAAATACAAATTTTGTATTATTCTTTTATTAAAATATCCTCCGCTCATCGATTTTTAGTAAATTTGATATAGCCTTAACCCATTTTACTAATAATGACTTGCTTGTTTCTTGCAGCACTAATATTCGGTATTCATTAGCGCTGAGGTTTGGAGCGTATACAGATCATTTATTAATCCATAATAGTTTATAGGTTGCATCATACTACTTTGTATTTTGTTAATATTATTGTAAATTATGTTTATAAACAAGAGAAGAATGAAATAAAGGTTTATTACTTTGTTCAGAGTTTCATAAGGTAATTTAACGTAGATGTTTTCGGTGTATATTTTTAATTTAAATGTATTAGCTAGCATGGACATTTGCCTGGACCAAAATTTTTTAATTAATGATATTAAGTCTTAGTATTGATGGCAACTGATTCAATAAAAAATTTGTAACATTTTTAATTTGTTACATGCTTTTTATTGTAGCGTTTTATTTTTCTTTTTATAAAATTCCAAATTTTAATATTGCTGGCGCCATCTATTCGCTAGATGTTAAACTTCATTCAGTACAGGTAGCGGTTCCTTTCCATAAAAACAAATTTCATTCAGTATAGACGATAGAGTTCACTTAATTGCCTTTGGTCATATGACCTGTCAATTCGAAGACTTCCGTTTTGCGAAAAGGAGGAAGGAGGCTTTTTCCGAGAGATTGAGATCAGAAAAGACGCGTGGTTCAGCGTCCGACGAATCTCAGAGAGAAAAGGGCTTTCTGAAACACTTTTCCTAACAGTAAAGGCACGGGTATCCAAAAGTGGAGATTTGAAATCCTGTAGAATATACTGTTCAGAGCCTAGTTCGTGTTTTTTTGGCCTTTTCCTGGAATAAGATCACATTATTCCCGTTTTTTATTTATTTTGATAATGTTTGATTGTGCATTACTGGTTTGGATCAGCATATAGTTTGGCTATATTTTGGAAGGTGTACAGCTGATTTTCAGACCAGTAACTGGCGTATAAGAAATTGACGTATAAGTAATTGGCATATGAGTAACCACTTTTGAGACAGTATTTATGACTCTACATTTATTCTACTGATATCGAAGACTCCTGCTACTATCGAAGAGTCTACATCCACTTCCGTTAGTCTGGAGACTGCCTGCCTATCTGTTCACTACGTCATAAATTAAAAAAAAAATACAGATAAGTTCTAAGTTCAACACACAAGGTATTCCCTAAATTTTTTTTACTTTGAGATAATATTTTGAATATCTCTGTGAATTGTTGTCATTTATTCCATATATTATAGTCAAAATTTACCTTTTAGTTAACATTATAAGTCATGCTTTGTCCTTAACGGTACGTTTTACTTCAGTATGATCTTTTATGTGAGAATCGCTAACACGGATTCATTTTTGAAGGTTATTGTACACGATTTGTTTCGAAACATCATCGTATTGGTACTTACATAAATTTCACCTGTTTATATATTACGTAGTATAGTATACTGAAGAGAACTTTAACTAAATTTGAGTTTACTTAAAGCAACTAACGATTTCATTGGGATAATTGAAACTGGGTTTAAACTGATTGATAATTGTGTTCGTTTTTAAATAAATGTTCAACGTAGGATAGTTATATCTGACTTTTATCTTGATGAACATAATAGACCCTTATTGCTGTTGATTATTTTATTTTAGCTATTTCATGATCAAATTTTCTTACTGGTTTCTTACTTTACCTTTTCATACCCAAAGTAAGTGGCGCCCTTTTTACTGTCTTTGACCATTACTATTTGAATACTTAACATCAATTTTAGAATCTTTGCAGCCTATACATTATTACTTTTATTTTATTATTTAACAACATTATTAAGTCACCACAGGTCACAAGCCTTACCTACAAACCCAGCTCTCCTCTAACCCTGAGCAACGGATACCTTTTTCTTTCTGTTTGAGTGATGACAGAAAAAGTCGTCACATTATATATGATCTAAGGTATTTGGTAGATTCCTAGATCATATACAGGGTGGTCCGAATTGTATTCCAGAAACTTCGGGAGCATATTCTGCAGATAAAAAGAAGTAAAAAACTTCTTATAAATGTATGTACTAAAATGCTTAGTTTCGGAGATACAAGGTGTAGAAGTTTCATTATTATTTCGATTTTTTCCAAATAATTTCTGAAGTAACATCAATATTTGGATGAAAATTGGTATCTGTTAGTTTTTTGACATGAGAAATTTGATTTTGATGTCATTATGACTCCTATTTTTAGAGGGCGCCACCTACATGTGTTTTAACTGTTTTGAAGAGTAATAACTTTTTGTCCGTACCTGTATAGAACTGCTGAGTGAAAAAATATACATTTTCGTATTTTTTTACGTAAAAAATGTCTCTTTGTAAAAATCGTTACGAGCAACCCTTCTCGAAATATTTAGAATGGGAATAGTCAATACATGTCATTATTGACAAAAAATAAACATGTTGAGTAGATAATTATTTGACTAAAAAGATAAATTTGGAAAATTTTAATTTTTTTAAATTAATCATAAAATTTTCTTCGCAAAAATGATTATTGATGATGGTTTGGCACAAAAACATTTCAAATTTATGATTTCCGTCTATTAACTATATAGTCAACATGTTTAATTTATGTCAATGATGACAGGTATTGATAATTTCGATTTCAAATATCTAGGGAACTATTACTCGTAGCGATTTTTACCAACAGATCTTTTTTACGTTAAAAACGTCGTAAATGTATATTTTTTTACTTTGTAGTTTTATACAGGGACGGACGAAAAGTTATTACTCTTCAAACCAGTTAAAAATATATAGGTGGCGCCCTCTACAAGTAGGAGTCATATTGACATAAACATCGAATTTCTCATATCAAAAAACTCCCAGACACCAAATTTCATCCAAATATTGATGTTACTTCAGAAATTATTTAGAAAAAATCGAAATAAAAATGAAACTTCTACACCCTGTATGTCCGAAACTAAGCATTTTAGGATATACGTTTATAAGAACTTTTTTACTTATTTTTATCTGCAGAATATGCTGCTGAAGTTTCCGGAATACAGTTTGGACTACCCTGTATATTATACCTACGTGGATAAATCAACGCCATAAGTTTAGCATTAAAAAATATTTTATGTCTCCAACATCACGACATGCCATTTTCAAACCTTCTTATAAAACACCTTCAAACCTTCTTACTGCACTTATAAAACGTTCAATAGGTTTGTCTTTTCCGAGGACCTTACTTTGCGCATGCGCATTAAAAGTTGCGCATAAAGGACGGTTTAGAAAGTACAAATTATTATACATTGTTATGGAAACCAACTTTTCATTGTCATCATATTTTCATAATCTTGTCATAATCATATGTCATAATTTTATTTCCATTGTGTAACGCTTGTTTTTTTGCGTATGCAAGTTCTACATACTTGTAAAAATGACCAGAAATTTTTTGGTGTGTGGAAGTTCTAATATAAAGGTCCCCGAATCATCTTTTCATAGGCAATTAAAGTATTCAGTTGTTCTTTTATTTATATTAAACCACATGCATTCTTTCCGGTCAGATTTCCTAAGAATATTGATATTCGTACGGAGTGGCTAAATGTATTTTTTATATAATTTAATTTTTGTGACAGTAAACATTCAATTTATTGTTCAGATATATGCATTTTACAAATTAAATTTTTAAAATTATTGTTCAAATTTGGCGCGTCGACGATAGGTCCTCGACAAGGATCGATAGAGTAGAGGCACCGCGTGTGCAACAAAAAAAGAAGATAAATGGAAGTCGTTGATATGTTTGCGACAGTTTCCATAGTGATTTACTTATCCACGTAAGGTATATTATAACCTAGGGGTATATTATTGCAAGCGTTAGTCATTTCTGATTGAACTCTGGTAGTTTCGAACTACTTTGCCTAGTTTTGTCTAGTTGGCAATACTGATATCGTATCGCTGCTTCAGTTGTTGCGCTCTCAAGTCAATATCGCCTCAATATTCTCTCGGTAACCTCACTTTTTATTGCCGCCAGCTGACACTGTCATCAGCTCAAGATTATAGAATTTCGAATTGCTCCTTGAGAATCTGAATCAGCTGAAATTTCAACGCAACAGGCAAAGATGTGATATTGTCTTTTCTAGATTCACTATTCTTACTACGTATTTTTAGAGTAGAATTTTGCATGCGCTCAAATCATCCTGAAAGTACCAAATATGGGTATATTTGGTGCTTTGATGGCCCGTGTTTTTTTCCTTCATCCCCTTACATGTTTAATAGAGGAAAGGGCGGATATATTTATTATGGAGACCGTCGAAATATCTCGAGGTGAGTTTAACGTCCTTTTTTTAACAAGGATGCTAATTTCATGTTTTTAGGGGTCTACTCGTACTCCTAGAATAGAAGGGCTACTTTCCCATAGGATCTAATGACAATGTAATGACTATTTCCATTCTAAAACGAAATAAAAATGAAACTTCTAAACTCTGTATAACCGAAACGAAGCATTTTAGTATATAAATTTATGGGGACTTTTTTACTTATTTATTGATCTCCAGAACATGCTGCTGAAATTTTCCGAATACAGTTTAGAAATAGACAACGTATTTCCGGATTGATTTTCTTAAATTTTAGTTTAAAATTATTGGAATGAAAAAAAATGAAAATCAAATTTGAATTATTTTTTGATACAATAATAATGGCGTTATCCTAGCCTAAACCACGTACCTTTGCAAATACATTCCGTTGACCCCGACCACAGGTCCCGCACCTCCAGACAGGAACGACTTGGGCAACGACATCGACCTCTGCTGCGCCACCAACAGATCCCCAGGTTGCACTTCTTCCGTTGGAGCGCTTCCCGGACGTGACGTCACAATCCGATCTGGAAAAGCATCAACGGGAGTGGAGGCACCGGAACCCTTGCGCGAAGATACTCTGGAAGGTGTGAGCCACACGTCACTACCGGAAGACGACCCGCTGACATTGCTCGCGCGCGGGGATGACTTTTTCTCGAACACCTGCCAGGAGAGATGAGTTAAAAGGAAATATTTCTGCTTATTGTAAAATTGGAATGATGATAATATTATACACTTACATGAGTTGAAATAGACCACTGTGCACTTCTAGTTTTGATTAAATTATAGATAGTAGAAAATAAAAAAATAATTAAGCGTGTCATTTTTAAATGTTATACAGGGTGTCCTAGACTCAGCGTGCATTAGAAGTTTCTAGAAAACTACAATATCTAGATCAGAGATTTTCTGCACATTACGAATTCATAACGAGATCTATCGATTAAAAATATTTTCAATATGGCGGGCGGCACTTCCAGAAATAATGGAAATTGACAGCAACTTTCTTATTTTAAATGGGTACCCCCATTTTTTATTACAAACTTATAATATCATCATTATTATCAATATCATAATACCCTGTAAAATTTTATGAATTTTGATATGAAACACTCTATATCTAACCTTTACCATTTTTGAGAATTTTTTTTTTAATTTTTGGAGAAAAAACTGCCTGTCCTAAAAATCTGTATAGCCTAAACGACAAATTTAGTGATTATCACAGCCAATGTGACATAAAGAGAAGATATGGCTATCTATTTCAAGAATTAAATTCTTTGAATGTCATATAATATTGACCATAGCTGTCATGGAGTTGAGCTCACAGATGGAAACTCACTTTTTTATTTCACTAGTAAAAAGGTTTTTAATTCGTTACTTTTTGACTATACATGTTCCTATACCTAAAATAAATAGTTTTTAGGTTATTTAACATTTAGTTTCAAAGGGTATATTTTTTTTTGTTTTTTTTTAACCTGCTTATGACTTTAAACGCCACGCGATGTAAAACTATATCTGACTATGTAATATTGCTATTAGATATGACTAAAATACGAGATATGTTTTTATAAATACACTTGCCAGGAGTATTTATAATATACGGAATTCAAATAGTAAGTTTTTATTTTAGGTAAAGGAATTCTAAAAGTAACGAATTTAAAAAACCTTCTTACTAGTGAAATTAAAAAAAGTGGGTTTCCATTTAGATTTTTTTTTTTAGAATTTAGAATGAGTGGGAGGGGGGTTAATCACTTCGACCTTACAGATCCATTGTGTCCCCCTTTCTTGAATCATAACTCATCATACAGTCCCAGGGCCTTGACAAAAGCCAGTATCTGGGACGGCCTTATAGAGGGCAGTTCTCCATCTCCAACATCAGTCGTACCAAAATTCATTGCACGAATGGTTATCGTCTCGGCGCACTCAGTGATGAGGTGTACTGGTGTTTCCCCATCTTCCCCACAGAATCTGCATTCGCCGTTTCTTCTTAGTTTCAATCTACTGAGGTGTTCATTGAGGAGACAGTGTCCTGTTAAAAACCCCGTGACAATCCGAAGATTGTTCTTACTCAGACCCAGGAAGATCTGTGATTTTTCTTGATCATAAGCCCTCAGAAACTTCTTCGAGTGTCTTAGACCATTGCAAGATTTTCATTCCAGGTTGCGGATGGAATCTTCCAAGTTCTTGAGTTCCGCCTTGAGTTGGTTACCACTTGGAAAGCAGAACGGTTCTGGTCCAGTTAGTGGAGTGTTCGCTCCTTTCCTAGCTAGATTATTTGCTTTTTTCGTTGCCTTCTATCCCTTGGTGAGCAGGCACCCAGTGTAGGAGGACTTTGTTTTGTTTGCCCTAATTTATTCAGCTTCTCTATGCATTCTTTGACCAATTTCGAATTGATTGATACTGAGTTGATCGCCTTTAACGCTGCTTGACTATCAGATAAGATGGCTATTTCTTGTTTCCGATAGTTCCTATCTAAGATAAGTTGTACGCATCTCTCGATAGCGTAGATTTCTGCCTGTAGGATACTAGGGCCCATTGGTTCGGAGTAATTAGCTCTCGGCCCAAACACTCCGATCCCTGTTCCCGTATTGGTTTTGGAAGCATCAGTATACCAAGTTATGGTATGGTCTTTTAACTGCTGGGCAAGCGTTTCGCTCTTCCAATCCTTCTTATTGCTCCATACTACATTGACATGTTTGTCAAAGTTGTACGTTCTTGGCATATCGTCCACTGGGAGTTGCAGGAGTGGTATTTCCTTTTTGAGGGTGTTCCAAGCCCCTGATCTGACAATTCTCCCGGTACTAATTCCGTTAGTGACCATTCTAATCATTGTCGCATTGGCATATCTACCAATGACAATGTCCAGTGGTGTTAGATCTAGAATGACCTCCATTGCTGCTGTTGGACAGGTTCTCATGGCTCCTGTGATGCAAACACATGCTAGTCTCTGGACTTTGCATAGGTTTAGCCTTGCCGTCCGTTGCTCAGTTTTGTGTACCAGGCAACTGCTCCATAAGTAATCATGGGTCTTACTATCATGGTATACATCCAGCGCAAAATGTTAGGGGAGCAGCCCCATCTATTTCCGGCCAGTCTTCTGCATATCATGAGAGCCTTTATGGCTTTGCTGGTAGTGTTCTTAATATGCCTGTTCCACAGGAGTTTACTGTCCAGGGTTATTCCCAGGTATTTAACTTCCTGTGTTGGCAGTATTTCCTTTCCATCTAGTTGGATTCTTTTCAAGTTTTTCAGACTTCGCCTTCTGGTGAATGGCACTATCGCGGTTTTGTCTGAGTTGATACTCAGCCCGACAGTCCTACACCATCTCTCAGTGATACGGAGTCCTCTTTGGATAATATCACACAAGGTGCCTTCATGTTTCCCCCGAGCGATCATGACTATGTCATCTGCATACCCAATGCAGTGTATTCCCGCTAGAGTTAATTCATCTAGTAGTTCATCCACCACCAAGCTCCACAGCAAAGGGGAGGTTACTCCACCTTGTGGAGTTCCTTGCGTTGTTTTAACAGCTACAGTTTTGGTGCCCATCTGAGCCTCTGCTGTTCGTGTTGACAGCATTTCCCAAAACCAGCGAATAATAGTTCTGTTCACCCCTCTTGTTTCTAGAGATCGCCTGACCACCTTATGTGGTATATTGTCAAACGCCCCCGCAATATCCAAGAAGGCACAAATTGCTGTTTCTTTGCTATCCAGACTTGTCTGTATTAGCTCCGTTAATTGGTACAGAGCAGTTTCTGTGGATCTGCCCGTTCTATATGCATGCTGACTATCATGCAGTGGTTTAACCTTTAGATGATTTTCTCCAATATGGTTGTCAACTACTTTCTCCAGCGTTTTTAGTATGAACGATGTGAGACAAATAGGCCTAAATGACTTGGGATTTGTCCAGTCAGTTTTGCCTATTTTGGGTATGAAGATTACTTTTGCTCTTCTCCATGTGGTTGGTATATATCCCATCGCTAGACTGCTTCTTGTAATGCTTAGTAGATGGTGAGTAGCTATTTGCTGACCCTCCTTTAGAAGGGCAGGAAAGATCCCATCCACTCCTGCTGCTTTATAGGGCTGAAAGGTGTCGATCGCCCATTTCAGCTTTTGTTCTGTTATTACTAGCTTGGCCACTTCCCAATCTTCCCTGCAAGGATTGTGGGGTTCAGTGGGAGCTACATAAGTATCAATAGGTATGCTACCTGGAAAGTGTGTATAAAGTAGGAGATTTGCTCTCTCTTCCTCTCCCTCCGTGTAGCTTCCGTCAGATTTCTTAAGTGCCATGTTGGGGATAGATCCACTCTTGGCCATAGCTTTGTGTAATCTAGCTGCATCAGGAGTAGAAGTGATGTTTTCGCAAAAGGATCTAAAGTCAGACCGCTTTGCCCTTCTTATCTCCTTCTTATACTCAGTTCATTTCTCGCTGTAGAGCTGCCATTCGCCACTGGATTTAGCTCTATTAAAGAGTCGTCGGACCTCCGATCTAAGTTTGGCCAACTTCTTATTCCACCAGGGCTTGTTGTTACTTTTTTGTATGCCTTTACTTGCGGGGCAACTAGATTCATATGCATCCAATATTGCACCGCTGACTTCCCTTGCGTACCATTCTAGATGCAGATGGTTTCTGGCCCTACTTGCATCTATACGGTTTAGGTTGTCTACGAGATTAGTGTTATACATGTCCCAGTCTGTTTTTCTTGGATTCCTTCGAGTTTCTGTTTGGGGTGTAATTCCTCCTAATTTGAACTCGATGATTCTGTGATCTGATAGGGAGGGTTCCGTTGAGACCCTCCATTGTTTCACGTTTGGAGGGTTTCCATTTGAAAAAGAATTTAATTTTTGAAATAGATAGCCACATGACTTCTCTTTATGCCACAGTGGCTGTGGTATCAGTAAATATATGTTTTTCTCAAAAACGGTTAATGTTATATATAGAGTGTAGATATCAAAATTCATAAAATTTTACAAAAAATTTTAAGTATGTAATAAAAAATGGGGATACCCCTTTAAAATAAGAAAGTAAAAATTTTTAATATTTTTAATCGATAGATCTGGTTGTAAAACAGTAATGTACAAAAAATCTCCGATCTAGATATTTTAGTTCTCTAGAAACTTCTAATGCCCGCTCAGCCTGGGACACCCTGTATATTGCACTATAATAAACATTTTTAAAGGTTTCTCTGATTGAGTTTGTATAAAGGCTTCCAGAGAACTATAATACCTATATTGCAGTATATCGTTTATTTACAAGTTCGTTCCATAATAAGATCCTTTGAATATAACTATTTTTAATACGTCAAGAATTGCAGGAAACTTAAATAAAATTTATTGTTTTAAATGGATGTAGAATATAGAATGAGTGGAAGTAAGGTTCACCGCGACCTTAATATTTTTTTATTGTATCCCCCTTTTATGAGTTATAACTCATCATACATCTTTCAGTTGTAGGGGGGACAGGTATTGCCCATTGCAGGGCACGGATGCTTTGACAGCTATTTGTATAAAAGGGAGAGATCCACCTCAAACCTGTGCATGTATTGCAAGGAAGATGGTAGTGTTTGGTTTGGTTTGGTTATATACACTATTCCTCTCCAGTTAATGAAAGCAGTTTAGAGTCATTCCAACGCAACGTGGCAGTGGCGGACCAGTTTTTAATGCCA